ACGTGCGCCGCCTGTACCTTCGGATCCAGGTACTCGCTTTGGATCGACGCATTTGCTTGCTCGCCTTATTTTGGTTTAGGAAATTCTGATATGCTTTAGAGATTAATTGAAATGCTCGCTGTTTATGCCTCGTAGCTAGAAATGTCTGAGTTGTATCGGCGATTCGATGAATGTTTTCTGTGATTTGGGGTGGGCTTTGTGACGATGAGATGGGGGAATTGCTGGTTCCGGAACACATTTTGTTGCATTTTCACAAAATGTTGCATTCGATATTCTACGAGTATATGGGAGCATGTTGGGGGAAATTTCTGATTATTTAGGAGTTTGGGTGAGTGTTTATTATTGTGGAGAAGATTATTTTGTATTTTTTTAAGCTCTGTGAGGAACTTTGGATGCAACCCCCTGTCTTTGGAGCTGAAGCAATATGCTGGATTCTTTCATGGCTTGAAATAATCTCATTATCTGCTGACACTAATATGTAAATACCAACTAAAATTGTAGAAGATTTTAGTTCCAGTTCTAAAGTGCTGGTTTTCTAAAATAATTGGTAGCATAACATGCTTGATGTTCATGTCTTTTTTTACTTGGCTGTTTGAAATGTGTTTGGCCTGAAATGGCAAGGGCCATGTTATCTACTTCCTGAATATATGTATGACATAATCCAATCATGCTGCTCATTTCAAGTGTTTTACGGATTTAGTCCACCGCACGCTAAATGTACTGTACTAGTCAGTATTGGACTGGATTTTGCATGACTCTGTTATGTTGCAAGGTTATCTCCTTCAATTATTTCAGTGTTAATTGCATTGGATATTAACCAATCCATATTTATGGTTTCACAGGATTGCTTCGGTAGGCCCATAGCAAGTGCACCAGATGCTTGGTTTGATGTTGTTGAGCGCTACTCCAATGACAGTAACAAGACATTAAAGTAAGCACTTCTTCTTCTTATTGTTATCATTCTAGGATAGAGCTTGAGCTTAAGACAATTGGGCTGAAAAAATTACGTGCAGTTCTGTTATCTGGGCATTTCCACATGCAGCTGCATACTTGGTGCATTGACCAAAACAAAAATCAGCTGATCATGCAGGCAAAGTCAACCCACCTGATCTGGACCTATATCTGTACAACCTTTTAAGCTATATATACTACATAATGACCATAATCAAGTTTGTCAATATGCACTTATTGGAAAGTTGTCGGTTGAGCTTCAATGATCTGTTCTGACATATAGATGATTATGATAAAAATATATGATCCAAAAATAAATGAAATGAAAAACACGCACAAGTTTCAACTGTTGTTTAAACTCCAAATATTGTTTCAGGCGTACTTCAAATACCACAAGATGCCTCAACCTAGGATCCTACAATTACCTTGGATTTGCAGCAGCAGATGAGTACTGCACTCCACTTGTGATCGAGTCTCTCAAGAAATACTCACCCAGCACCTGCAGTGTTCGCGTTGATGGCGGTATGCCTGGATGCTTGTCATGCTTTTTTTTTTAAAGAACTGCAGTCTGTAGGCACCATGCTGATTCCTTTTATTTGGCAACAGGCACGACCAAACTTCACACTGAGTTGGAGGAGTTGGTTGCACGCTTTGTTGGAAAGCCTGCTGCTATCCTATTTGGCATGGGTTATGTTACAAACTCGGCCATCATTCCTTGCCTAGTAGGAAAGGTACAATCAAAACGTCAAGTGGTTGATCTATCCAGTAACAGAAAACATGACTAAACTTAGCAGCAATTAACATGACTAAATTTCATGTTATTCCAGGGTGGGCTGATAATTAGTGACTCACTGAACCATAACTCAATTGTCAATGGTGCAAGAGGATCCGGTGCAACCGTTCGGGTTTTCCAGCATAACTGTAAGCTTTTATGCCTTTATGCAATGCGAAGCAATATTCACTGTTTGTGGTTCACAAGGACTTATTTGTCAGCATGCTGCTTACAGCCCCTGCTCATTTGGAAGAGGTCCTGAGAGAGCAGATAGCTGGTGGTCAACCACGCACACACAGACCTTGGAAAAAGATCATTGTCATTGTTGAGGGTATCTACAGCATGGAAGGCGAGCTGTGCAAACTACCTGAGATCATAGCTGTATGCAAGAAATACAAGGTTCGAGGAAATTTCTTCTAATTTACAGTTTAAGTTCTGCGCATAAAGCAGCTTAATTAGCTTCTCAATCAATTAGCAATCTATATGAAGTGCAACATCGAGAGTTGACCATGTTGAATTATTCTTTATTCTGTAAAATAGGCTTACACTTATCTGGATGAGGCCCATAGCATTGGCGCTGTTGGCCAGTCTGGTCGGGGTGTTTGTGAGCTCCTTGGGGTTGATCCAGCTGATGTGGACATAATGATGGGCACTTTCACTAAGTCATTTGGATCATGTGGTGGATATATTGCAGCATCGAAGGTACATCTTCAGAGCACTTCTTTCAGTTGCTTGAATTGAAAATTTACTGATTCACCTTGCTTGAACTCTCAGGAGATAATTCAGCACCTGAAGCTTAGCTGCCCAGCGCATATTTATGCTACCTCCATGTCACCACCAGCAGTACAACAAGTTATTTCAGCCATTAAAGTGATCCTTGGAGAGGATGGCTCCAACAGAGGTACTAGCCTTTTCTTCTGCTTCGACCCTTTCAATGCGCTGCAGGCTATCCATGTAAGTTTTACTTTCAATTCTTATTTATTTTGGTTTTGATGTCTTGCAGGTGCCCAGAAACTTGCACGCATCCGTGAGAACAGCAATTTCTTTAGGTCAGAGCTCAAGAAGATGGGTTTTGAGGTTCTCGGAGACAATGACTCTCCAGTTATGCCAATAATGCTCTACAATCCAGCCAAAATTCCAGCTTTTTCCAGGGAGTGCCTTAGACAAAAGGTTAGTAATGGTATAGAATGCTATTTATCTTCAGAAATGGTACAGAATAATGGTTTTTGCCAGTTTTTTGTCGTTCCCTAGCCCCTATTACCGTGCGACTGATGTGGCACTGGCATTTCAGGTTGCTGTTGTCACTGTGGCATTCCCTGCCACACCTCTGCTCCTTGCAAGGGCGCGCATCTGCATTTCTGCTTCGCACACTAGGGAGGACCTGATAAAAGCCCTTGATGTGAGTGCTTTCGTTTGTTAATTTTCGGCTGTTCACATATGTTTAAACGGATTCCAATTCACATTGTTCTCATGTTTGTAATCCACTCAGGTTATCAGCAGAGTTGGTGATCTTGTGGGCATCAAGTACTTCCCTGCGGAGCCGCCAAAGATTGCTGAAGCTGATCACGATAAGCTGGAGTAAATGATGAACTGGGTTGCCCCATTGAATGCTCAAGTTGCTGGAATCTTGTAAACAAGGCGCATGTTGTTGATTGGTTTCATCGGTTTGACTTGGGATTTTGTTGATACCTGAGAATCCAGAGCCTGTCTCATTAGCTGACTACTGTTGGTTGTACAATTTACACTTCTAAAATGTGTATAGCTGGTCGAAGTTTGATTGTTCTATTGTTAATCGATTTTCTTCATGTAATACTTGATAGACACAATATAAATTAAATTTATGATAGAACATTTCTATTGATTTCTGTGGAAAGTTGAAGTAACCATTTTCAGCAAATGAAGCAATGCTTTTCATGTGTTTCTCCATATTCAGTCAATGCGGTATTTGAGATACAGCAGATGCATATGTATTATGTTGTATACCAATCTCCTTTACAGCAGTTCTTTGGATTGCATTATTTCACTTAGTATTAGAGAAATATATACTGGAGTTTCTAGAACCTTTGTAAATACGATGTTAAAATATAAAAACGGGTAGTCACTGGAACAAAATTTTCATTTTAATTCGCCTTGCACAATCACCTAAAGTTTAATATCATTTGACTTAAATTCTTGAAAGTCTATAGTATATACCACCTTTTCATATTAAATCGTTTTGATTTTTTTTAAATCAAACTTTTTTAGGTTTGACAAAGTTTATGAAAAAGTATAGTAATATTTTCAAAAAAAAAATCAAAATATCAATATGTTCAACGTTAAATGTAATAAAACTAATTTGGTACTTAAGCGTTGTTAACTTCAAAAATTTGAAGTACCTTATAATATGAAACGGAGTGAGGAGTGTTAAGGGTATGTTCGGCACCCCTTTTCCCAACCCCTCTTCCTCGTTTTTCACGCACACGCTTTTCAAACTGCTAAATGGTGCTTAAAAAACCAAATTAATCCATTTTTGAAAAAAAATAGCTAATACTTAATTAATCACATGCTAATGGACTGCTCCGTTTTCCGTGTGGAGGGAATGAGTTCCCATCCGGTAGATGCAAACACAGCCTAAATGAGTTCTCATATAGGTGGTGTTTAGATCTAGGGACTAAACTTTAGTCCGTATCATATCGGATGTTTGAACACTATTTTGGAGTATTAAACATAGACTAATAATAAAACTAATTGCATAAATGAGAGCTAATTCACGAGTCGAATTTTTTAAGCCTAATTAATTTATGATTAGTAAATGTTTACTATAGCATCACATAGGCTAATCATGGATTAATTAGGCTTAATAGATTCGTCTCACGAATTAGTCTAAGATTATGGAATGGGTTTTTATAATTAGTCTATATTTAATACTCTAAATTAGCATCTAAGAGCCTGTTCACTTTGATGCAAAAAAACCCTTACAAAATTTTGGCATAGTTGCCAAAATTTTGGCAGGATTTCTTATATAGTTACCAAAATTTTGCAGCAAAGTAAATGTAGCCACTTTTTTGGTAACTTTACTAAAACTTGGTAAGGTTGAAAATGGCATCAAAGTAAACAGGTCAATAGGCTCTAAACATCCAATGTGACAGGCACTTAAAAAAGATTTAGTCTACACAAAAAAAAGAAAAATAAAAAAGAGAAATTAGGAAATGACCAAAATACCCGTAGGCATCTCATCCTCTACCCTTGCCTCCTCTCTCTCTCTGTTTTCCAGCCGCCTCCCCCCGCTTCGCCTCCCCTCCCCTCCCCTCCTCTCGCGCGCCGCCGCCGGCGAGCACGTCACCGGAGGCACGGCGCAGACGAGCTCCTCTCCTCTCCTCTCCTCTCCTCTCCTCCCCGATTCCTCCCTGCTCCCGCCCCCCGCCCTCCGTCTCGGTTCTATTCGAATCGAATCGAAGGTAAACTCATCCTCCCCTCTCTCTCCCTCTTCCTCCCATATGAGCAGATGTGGGAGATTCATCAGGACATGGATTTGGATTGGTTTTTTTTTAGTACTGAAACCCCCATTTACCCCCAGCACCACCACGTGACGCCCCCTAGTTCAGATGTGTCGCCGTTTGCGCCTAAGATGGCAGTGGCAGAGTGCAGCAAAGAGTTGAGAGATGTTAGTTCGCCATATCGTCAATTAGGATGCTCCACGGAGCTCTCGTCTTGATGTTAGTACAAATTTAGTCGAAAGCCATTCTAATGTGGCGGTGCCCCTGGGCTATTTATTGGGAGCAAGGGGGATTTGCTCCATTTTGTTACCTCTGTACGGTGTCTTTACCAGGAATTTTTAGCCGAAAGGAATCCCGCGCCGCCGATTTTAAGCGCTTTGAATAGATTTTTGGTTATAGCCTCGAATCGCTAGTAATATTCCCTGCGCATCTTCGACTTATGATTCATCACCTGCGGAAACATGTGTAGGTCTGATTTTGTGTTGCAAGAGAGTGTGGAAAGGTAGGTCGGCTAATTCAGTTTGTTTCAGCCGTCCTGTGTATTATATTGTGGTGGTTGGTTTTATTCGGACCTGATTTCCAATGACTACCCTGGTTAATATGGTTATGCTGTATAGCAGTATTTTACTACCTATGTGTATTCTTAACACTTCAGAATGAATAAAATCAATCTATGAATGTGTAAGCCAAAACTTAAATTCTACACTACAGCTGTATAGCTGTAGTAGCAACTGTGGTATTGCTAAAGAAGTCTGTATGTTGGATCGGAAAATGTGAAACCAGAATAATACAGTCCAGTAGTCCATATGTTTTCTTTCTGCCTTTTCTTATAAGGAGTAAGGTTATCAGCCAGATTGTAAGTTTATTTCTGTGAACATGGAACTTGAATAGGCATATGATCTTTCACAGGATTGGGAATTTAGGATATACCCTAATGAACTACAACCTCTAAGCAGCACTGCCTTCTTGTGTGACTAATTAAGCAACTATTAGTTTGATTCTTACTTTCATATGATTTATCTTAAATGGCCATGACTGTTCAATATGTGTCTTACCAGGAATTAGTAGGCAGGGATTCATATGACTGCCTCATTTGTTTTTTTGTTACCTTTGTTTGCTGTTCAATATGTGTCTTACCAGGAATTAGTAGGCAGGGATTCATATGACTGCCTCATATGTTTTTTTGTTACCTTTGTTTGCTGTTCAATATGTGTCTTACCAGGAATTAGTAGGCAGGGATTCCATTCAGATTTTGAGTGCTTTGAATAGACTGGTGATTAGCTTCAATTCTCTAGTAAGATTCCCTGAGCATGCGCAACTTATGGTTCGTCACCCATGGAACCATGTGTAGGCCGATTTTTGTCTTGGCGAAAGTGTACAAGTTTCCTAGGTAGGACAGCTAATTGAATCTGTTTCAGTCGTTCCTATCAATTGTATCATGGTGGTTTTTTTTTTACCTTGAATCCTTGTTCTTATTTCAAATAACCGTGCGTTGCTTATATAGTTATTTTGTACAGTTACTATTTTACTACCTATGGTTTGTGCTGACATCGGAATGAACAAAATCAATATATGAATGGGTAAGTCAAAACATAGAAATCCTACACGGCACTTGCTTGATGGGGTATTACCAAAGAATTCTGTTTATGAAAACAGAATACAGTCCAGTTGTCCATATTTTGCTGCTTTTGCTTATAAAGAGCAAGGTTGCCAGCCAGATTTTCCCTGCGAATTCGGAAATTGAATAGAAGTAGAATCTTTCACAGGATTGGGAATTTAGGATGTACTCCCATATAATTTAATCATTTTAACTTCCGTACCTGTGGAAGCATGAAGATCGGTACTCTGACTATTGTGTCATCTTTTATTTCTTATGAAGAACTACCTATCTCTAATAATGCAACAGGAATGTGGAAGAGTTCTAGATGGAACCATTATACATGGGTAACAGGGGATTAATAGGCATCACTCTTCGTCTGTTTTCTGTAGTTCATATATACCTTCACTTTGCGCTGCATATTAGGCTCTACTCATGGTCTTAGGAATGGTATTTCCGAGCATATTTTGTTACATGGTTCAACAATCTCACTTAATAAGTTCAATGGACGAATTTGAATATACATGATGATGGAGATTTGTTTTCTAATGGAGTACATCTGAATGTGATCTTTGACTTTTGTTGTCTTTTCGTGTGACTAATAATCAACTACTACTTCGATCCCTACTTTCATATTATTTATCTTAAATGGTCATTTGACTGTCTTTTTCTTCTTCATATTATACCATCCTACCTTCTTTTGTATGATTGGGTGGTTCTCGCATGTTTTGCTTAACATTGGAGAACTTATGCTCATTTATGACTGGGTGGTACATTTATGCTCATGCAACATTTGTGTGGCAGAACTTGTTCAGCATCACTCCTTAATTGGCTTGACATCCACCGTAATGTGAACATTCATTATGATGATATCAAAGGTCATGCATTTGTTACCTTTTTTTTTTTTTTGCTTTTTTCCGAGGATTCTTCTTATTACTGACCATTATCTCCTAATCTAGTTGTTATGTAGTGTATTTTTAGGAACTGGATATTTCTTCCATGGTTAATGTCCAGAACCATGATAATAGATATTTACTAGTTACATTTCTTTTCGTGTATAGTGTAAGAAGAATTGTTCAGCATAAAAACTTGTAGCCTTTTCTGACATCCTTGCATTTTTTTAATTCCTTTTGAATAGGTTGTAAGGATGAAGAAGGGACTGCATCCTCAGATGCAGTGGATTTCATATGTGACACAAAGCGGCAGGTTGATCAATATCATGATGACCAAGGTCAACCATACTGGCAAAGTGTATCATATGAGAGCAAAGCGTCAAATGGCTCAAAGCCTGGGCCAGATTGCAAAGTTCAACCGCCGATACCAGCAGGAATCTGAGGAAAACAAAGAAAAGTAGGCTGCTGTCAGCAAGGAGCTACATATGCTCTAAGGCAGATTAGTGTGGTGCTATGTTTATCGTCCAGGAACATTGCTCATGGATCTTTGTTTTGGATGTCATCCTCTTCCATGTAGCCATCTGATCATTGTGGTTTATCCCTGTAGTTTCAGTTCTACCATTCACGAATTTTTCTGGAGCTATTTTTGTTGCTCAATTCTGCCCGATATCTCTAGAGAATACAGCATGCTACTTTATGTTTTGTTGATTTTAGATTGAAGCTCCCTGAATTCCTGTAAGATGGCATCGTTTGGCTTGTCATGCTACGTCTCTTTTAGCTTATATAAATTATGTTTATTGTTAGTACATAATATTTCTATTATTCTCAGGTGTACTTGAACCTTTTTTTGTATGAACTGTAACCTTAGGTGATCCTGGCCTTAGGATTTATATAAGATAACCGTAGTGTGATGATGATTGATTATAGTTGTAGACGATGGACAAGGGCTCAAATGTATAAATTAAATACTAGAATTAAAATATCATTTAGAAAAGTCATAGAAGCAATGCTGATTGCTGATTGAGCAAGTTTTTGAAATCAACGTACAGTACTTCCTAGAAGTGTTTGTTTGGATAATTTACAGAAGTTATGCCCATTGTCTCGTTTATTTATATGCTTATCCAAATCGTTTATTAGCACATAAATAATCATTTGTGGGTGAAACTTTTATGTAGTGTTCTTAGCGACCCAAAAGTACATGTTGTAAAATAAATTATGATGCAAAAACAAAAAATCAAATTCAAAATTAGATTCCAATATTTAAATTTCAACTTACAAACATAATTTAATTCCTAGCATCTTAACGTGGAGTTAGTGGAGATGAATAATAACTAAAATATCCTTAATTATTAAAAAAGGTAGTAAAAGTGAAAAGTAGTAAAAGTGATAGATAGGTAACATGGAGTTAGTGGAGATGAATAATAACTAAAATATCCTTAATTATTGAAAAAAGTAGTAAAAGTGATAGATAGGTAAAGGGTATTGTAGGAATAAAACTGAGAGTAGGTAGAATAGCAGATGTTGGTATTTTGTGGGATAAAATTTACACTCTAGAGGTTATTTTATTTTATTATTATTATTTTTTGACGAAGGGAGTATGCGAGACCGACCAATCAAGGGAAGGGAATACGAGATACTCGTGCAAAGCCCGCACCCCCTGTCTCTCTCTATCTTCTCCTCTTTTCTTTAAGATTTATTACCGTTGAAGAAACCATTTCTCTCCCTGTGTCTCTCGCTGCAAGTGGACCCCGCGGTTTCCGGGCCCCACCGTGTCAGTGGGAGATGGGGAAGAACCGAGAGGTGTTTGAAGCTTCTTCCCCTTGTCGCCGTCACCGTCTCGTGAGTCGTGAGTCGTGACAGCTGCCTGCTCCTTCTCCACCTCCACCCTCTCTCTTCTCGCCGAGCGCCGCGTCGGCCGCATCCTGCTCCCGGGGCCCCGGCCGCCGCCGCCGACGACGCCGCCACCTAGCAGCTGCGGGTTACAGCGGCGCTGAGGGCGAGGGAGGGAGAAGGCCGGCCGCGCGCAAGCCGCAAGGTGGCAGGTGAGGTGGGGGGGGGGGGGGGGGGGGCGCGCTCTGGGCGCTAGCTAGCTAGGGCAAGGGTCGGAGCCCGCGAGCGCCGCCGTCGCCGCCCGCCTGCCACCACCTGCTGCCGCCGGTCTTCGCCGACCGAGGCGCGTGCGTGCGTTCGCGGGTGCGCGTCGAGGGAGGGGAAGCACGCCACCACCACGCGCGACTCGCTACTTGGCGACGACGACGCCGAGGCCGAGGAGGCGGACAAGCGCGGTTCACCAGGCGTACGGCGCCGCCGAAGGGGGTCGAGAATCCCGCGTCGCTCGCGGGCGGGCGCTGAGGAAGCCAGGAAGGCCGCCGAAACATAGCGGCCACACCTGCTGCTCTGCTCCCTCTGCGTGCGGCGCCCGGTGAGGTAGTCGGGGTCGAAGCGCGTCAAGTCGAGGGAGGCGAACCTGCGCCCGCGGCTGATCGATCGAGGCCCTCGCCGCCGCGCGCCCGCCTCGATCGAGAGCCCTTCTGCATTTGATCGTCTGAACTCAGCTCAGGTACGCACTAATTTGGTTCCGCATCTAGCATGGTGTCCACCACCCACGCACGCACGCACGCACTCCGCTCGTCCGCTTGCCGCGGCGCACGCACGACACGATAGGCGCCGCCGCGCGCGTCTCGCCGCCGGCCATTTCGCGCAGCTTCTGAGTGTCGTGATGACTGCGTGACGTGCAACTGTGCGCTTACCATGTCAATGCAGTGCCGCGTAGAGATTGGTGGATGGCCATCGCCAATACATGGATTAATTAGTTAGTGATGAGTTAAACTAACACACGCACACAAACTGCAGCCGCGGCGCCTACTTCTGAGCACTAAATTAACCTTGAAATCCATTTTAGCCAGCACTAAACATGGATTAGTTAGTGATGAGTAAATTGATGTAGTTAATTTTGCTTACAAATCATCATTAATTAGTCCTCTCCAAGTAATTAAATGTTGGATGAAAACCGAGCAGGTGTGATTAAGGACAAGACATACTCAAGCTATTTGGAAGACAACCGTGAGTTTCATGCATGGCCAAGGTTTCAGATAACGAAAGGTTAGTGCCTCCAATACATCTCAATTTTTCATTGATTGTATTTTTTTTTCATCTCTGGTAGCTACTTGTGCATTTATATATCTTCTATAGAGTCCTTACGAATATTTAATTGCTATGCACTACCGTATATAATTTAGTGATTGGTCCATATTACTATTGACCCATAGTTCCCTGGTAGTAGTTTAAATAAAACAAATATAATGCCCATAGTTTCCTAAAAACGTTATAATGCCCACTATAGACTATAAACCAAAAATAATAATGCACACCATAGACTAACATGGTACCGGCCGACAAGCAAGATTAAAGTTAAAAGTTTCTCTCTTTTTTCTAGCTCTCCTATATAATCCCAGCAGCTTAGTAGTCACTAGACAGTGATGGTTTTGTCGTTGCCATCCTTTATCTGCTCTTACTACTCTGGGTTCAAACCTTTGATATAGCAAAAAAACATTAAGAGATCAAAATTTTAGAAATACATCAAAATATTGATTGAAATTGTCAAACAAAATTTGGAATGAACCTTTTTTTTTTGTTTCATTTGACTATTTGAGCCTGCCTGATGTATCTTAAATGAGCCCTCCTCTCCACCTTCCTCACCACTGCAAGTGATTGTGAATGCTAGGCCTATTTGCCTGATTACATTGTGGATTTAAATTAATTTTATAATTATTCTAGTCAAAATATTATTTATACTATATTCCCTCCGTTTCATATTATCAGTTGCTTTGACTTCTTTCTAAGTCAAATTCCTATAAGTTTGATTAAGTTTATAGAGAAATGTAGCAACTCTTGTAACACCAAATTGAACATAACATTGAATATCTTCTTCCCCAATTTCTTCTTCTTTTCCTCTCTCTCCCTTCCTCCTCGACTGGTCGGCTATAGCAGCGGCACTGACGCCACCGTCATTGCTTCGATGCAATCGGAATCCGGTGGAGCCACCTCAAATCTAGCCTGGATGATGGGCCTGTGCCCTCCACAGCCAAGTCCCCTGCCTAGGAGAAACCATGGGTGCAGCTTCCCCTCTCTCTATATGGTACCGACGAGGAGGAGGCGGTGGTGGCGGTTGATGAGGAGCCTCTATCTTCCTCCACCACTCAAGCTTCCACCCGCCTTGCCTCTAGCGCGAGGCTACAATGACCGTCGTGTGTCGCACCACCGTCGGCCCTGTCGACCACCAAGAGTGGTCATGGAAGTCTTGCAACTGTGGTATTCAATCCCACGCAAGCTTCGACCTTGCCTATTCCCTCCGCGGCTCCACCTACTCACCGACATGTAGGTCACCGGGTTGTGCGCTAGCAGCGCGGCCTACATGCGCCTCATCCGGGTGCTTCCCGGTGCCGGCCGCACACTCGAGGATGAGGCGTTCCTCCTTGAGATGTGCTGCCTCGAGCTCCACCCTGTCGCTCGCGAAGGCGGGTAAGGAGGACATGGTGGCAGAGGATGGTGACGGATCCTCGCGGCCTGCCGCATATGGATCAACGAGGTGGAAGAGAGATGGGGAAGACATAAGAGATGATAGAGGAATAAGATGGAACTGTCATATGGGTCCCATGTTTAGGGGTATTTTGGTCTATATGATGACGGAAAATGTGACGGCGATGGCATGCTTCTAATTTTGTGCGTATTCGAATGGTATGGATACGAATAGATGAATAGTAATGAATTTATCTAAAAAGGCAAAATTTTCCCAAAAAAAACTAAAAAAATGTGTAATTAGCTGCGACACTGTAAAGACGTGAATTTGTCCGAAAACACTCCAAGTGTGGTAATTTGCTACAGGACAATGGATACATTAAAATATAATATTAACTCAATTGATGGGAGAGAAACCACACAAAATGATAGTTTTACCGTTATGTTATTCTCCTTTCTCCCAATCTTCTTCCGCCGCTCACTCACAGCAAGCTCCACCCGCTTGCTCATGGCGGCACAACCACTCGACGTAGTCGATGGCGCGGTCGGTCGACATGCTGCCGGCACCGGTGAGATTGGACACCGTCTAGCTAGTGCGCACCGGGGGGGGGGGTGTGCTATGGTGCCGTCGGCAAACTCCCTAATTATGAACACGTTGCCGAAGTGGGTGACCTTGGTGAGCCAGCTTTCGCCATCGTCCATAGAGTGTTCCCTGAGACAATGTAGGAAATCCGCCGGGTCGTCAACCACCTCGAGGAGGCGGTGCTCGGGGCGAGGCGGTACCTAGTGGAGAGCACGATGTGGTTCATGTCTCTCACGTGGTCGTCCGGTTCAAGTGCCGGCCGCGACGGTGGCGCGAGCACGAGTGGCACCGGCGATTGCAACGCCACCACGGTCACCGATGACATTTGGCTGTACCTTCCGTCCTCGTCGCCAACAGCCTCGACATGCTGTGCGACCGCACCATTGACTACACCGAGCAGCTGTCCGTCATGGGTAAGCCGGTGGAGCTCACTGCGAATGAGCGTTGCAAGAAAACCGAAAGAAGGGAGAAGAAGGGAAAAAATGTCATTTTATGTGGTTTCATTCTCATCAATTGGGTGGATATTATATTTTAATGCGTCCAGTGTCCTGCAGCAAATTACCACACTTCTGAAGTGTCTTTGGACAAATTCACGTCTACGGTGTCTCATAGCTAATTACACATTTTTGTGTGTCCTGTAGCAAAATGGCACATTTGTAATGGCATGGATCAATTAATCCTATATTCTAAACAATCTTCTGTTTTTCAGGTATCCAGTTGAAGTAAGCAATATTTCAAAGGAGGGGGTAATCAATTTCTCATACAAACTATTAATATTCTTTTGCATTTTTTAAAAAAATATTAAATAAAATTATTGGATCTAATTCCAAATTACACATGTTTGTAGGAGGTGGAGGTCGTTAACAACAATGTGAAGTTAATCTGTTATAGGGATCCTGTTCCAGGGACTACAAAATTCAATTACCCATTTTATTATGCTTCAGTTTATGATCTCTTAAATCCTAAAACTGCGATAGATCAAAGCATTAGGCAATATGTTGTCCTTCGAAGAAAGCCACTTCAAGATGCATATGACACATTCAACTTCTTGAGCCTTTGTGAACACCCGAACATCCTTAAGCCCTATGGATTTTGGGAGGATAATGATAACAAAGGTTTTATTGCATTTCCACGTGTCAAAGGCACATTAGGTAACCTTCCAACAGATGAGTTGTTCTCTGTGGAGATCGATGCGAATAAGGTTACCTGGCTCAAAGGCTTTTCTCCAAGTGGCATGCAAATAATCAGGTACAATAATGGGTAACCTTGCTAAACAAATTCTCAATTATTCATGTCATGTCATTATGCGTTAATTTATTAATCTTCACATCCTTTTGTATAGATAATATCTATTTTACGATATTGAGCTTAGTCTATTTTTGAAAAAAAAATGCCATTGACTTTGTTTCCTTGAGCAAAACTGAAATATTATGAGTTTTTTTTGTTGCTTTTATAGAGATATTGTGAGCTCGGTTCACTATGTGAACGAGCGGTATCCTCAAGCTGGCACTAGTTCTAGTGGAAGTGCCATACCGCCACTTACGATGTTTCCACTAGAACTTGCCTCTCACAAAATTTTATATGAGAAGATTCCAACAGGAGAATACAAGATTTTTCTTGGAGATATATCCACGACTAACCATTGGCCAAAAACAATGAAAAAGAGTAAGTTATCGTTTCATTTAGTATTAAGTGCTATATTTACCTCTATGATATTTGTATGTTCTCATGAAATTACGAAAATAATTACTTGGGTCATTTTGTACTTGCCAATAAAAAAAAACTCGTAGAACTAAATTTCTGAAATTATGCACCTTTAAATGAAGGTAGCTAGACTTTATTTATACCCCTAGTGTAATACTCCATCCATCTCATTTTCATGATTACCTAAGCAAAAGTGTAGCAACCAAGTACAAAAAAACCTTTATTATTCTAAAATTAATCCTTATCAGTTAATATGCTTCATAACTTTGTATTCCATGGATTATGTCATATTTTAAATATTACATGACATTGCACCAATAGAAATTAATCTTGGTTAGTTGCATGCAGTGCATTCGACGATGCACGTTTACTCTTTACACAAATAAATGAATAGACACTTGTTAGATGATGATTATAATATATTAATTACTAATTTGCTTTATTTTTTTAAAAATTTGCTTTATTTTCTTGGCAGTAGGATAACTGTACACTTCCCGAAAAAAATATTAGCTATTGTTCTTTTCTTTCTAGACCAAATATCCAAATAGCTTCTAACTTCAGTTTTGGTATTTCTGTATATTTAGACTTTTCAGTTGAAGATCTCAAGAGGCACAACTGGAATTGCCTGGGAAAATACATTTCAACTATCATGGCCGGCCATAAGCCCAATACTGAATTGATACATCTTGTAGATGTCCTGATAAAGGTAAATTGGTTGTTACAGTTTTAATGACTCAATGCAAGGAAGCCTGACAACTAACTCATCTGAACTGGAGTAATATATTTGTTATTAAAAAAATAATTACAAATTTCTTACTGTTGCTGGAAGTAGTTTGAATCAAATGTTGCATGGGAGGGGGAGCGTGGTTAGGAATTATATCGAAGTTCACAAATATTTTCATGATTATTAGTTTGAATAAAAAATATGCTGGAAAATAATTTAGGGGTTAAGTGCTCTGGTGAAATAATTCGAGACAATAGAATTGACTTTTCCCATTTGTTAATACCCGAGAATTCCAGTAGGTAGCTAAAGCTATGGAATGTACGTTGTATATGTAGAAACTAGCTAGTCCTAGTGTCCAATGCTCAATATTTGGTTGGGCCTGTAGCACTAGGCCACTGGCCTCAAGCTGTTGTTTACATTGGACTAAGGCCTTGTTTGATTCAGCTTAGGATTATTATAATTTGGATTACTAGTAGTAAGCTGAATCAAACAGATAGCTTATTATGATAGATTATTACAATCTATAAGTCAGATTACTATAATATGGTAATGCACTCTAAAGGTGCTTTTTTAGATTACTAAGTGGCTAACAGCTAGTAAAGCTAATGATCTAGAGAAACAAACAACTAACAACTTATTTTATGTCGGCTTATTATAATCCAGCTTATAGTAATCTAGCTCAATAATCTAGATTACAATAATCTTAAGCTGAAACAAACAGGGCTTATATGTCGACTAGAGTTTCCTAAGTAATTTACCAATAAAATGTATATATAGCACTCAATATTGCTCATATTTATTTTGTCTTTACATGTGTCAAATAGATTTGAGGATATTCTCTGGGAACCTGCACTATGGGGATCGAAAATCAAAATGCGTTTTGTTAGAGAGATAGTTTGGTGCTTAGAGAATGACAAAACAGGAGGAAGAAAGTCAACACTCTCCAAACTATCTCCATTGGGTCTACAGGATTGTATCACCAAGCTTGGACTTAACTACAACGAAGCTAAAAGTTTGTTGAGCTCCGTCATGCTTCTAAGAAATAAGATTGTCGCCCACCAAGATGATCCTTATCAAAATTACACTGGACCCAAGGTTAGATAATTTTTATCATGTTTAAGATTCCCACATTGTCTTAGTAGCAAACTGACTTGAACAGATTATTTTTTGCTCTATTCTAAGTATACTGCATTCTATTTTGTTTTAGGAGCAAATTGGCGTGGCTAAAGCCCTCTTGGAGAAGCTTGTGTTAGACTCCAAGCCTGCTTACATGATAAAGCTCATCGAAGAGATCCGAAAGCTTAACTGGATAGGAGAGTCACCACTTGTTAGAAGTAAGTTATAAAGTTGTACAACAATTTAAGTCAAAGTAAAAAATGAGTGCAAGTTAGGAGTACTGCCTGTTTTAATAATTTTAAAAATAACAGTTATGTGTTACTAATTGCTTTTTGTTTTTGTTTTTTTTGTTTATGTCCAGGCCTTACGAGCTACGTGAAAGCATTCGACCCCAATCTCAAGATCAGGACTTCATGAGACTTATGGTGGTACTGCGACTGATATGGTGGTTTTTGGGTGTTTGTGGTGTACTTACCTGGAATAGTTGCTTATCTGATTCTGATGTATATATAGTCTGTCAGACGTAATCTGTGCATGTTTTCTTCCAGGATGGATAACTTAGGTGTACGGTGCAAATGTTTTTCGGTAATAAATAGAGCTATATTGTTGCCTTACCTGCCTAGGGTGACTTGTTTCAGGGATAATTTTTGGGCGTACTTGTCATGGCTGGTGATAATCTTGTTGGCGTCTCGCCAAATTGAGGAGGATCGTGATGGATTTGCTTGGGTAGCAGATGAAGAACATGAGAAGTAGAGGATGAGGCAATTGGGGATTAATTTCTTTCTTCTTTCTTTTCGGATGGAATAAATGGGTTATGCCCGATTTATTCTAAGTACATCCCATAGGCCCACAATTAACGTTAAGAGGATTAATACCACATTGGAAACTTTGTGAGGTGATCTCAATTTAAATAGGGAGCTATTAGAGAGCCCCTGTTGACCGGTTGAGGTGTTGGTAGGATTGCCACACGCACGGGCTGAACGTGCAGTGATGTAGCCTAGGGGGAGTGAATAGGCTTTCCTGAAATTTTCTGAACAATCGCAGCGGTTAAATTGACAGGGCCCGGAACTTCCGGGTGGTTAAATTGACAGGGCCCGGAACTTCCGGGTAGGATGTAGTATCCCGGAACTTCCGAAGTTCTTAAGCCAAGAACTTCCTTAAGAACTTCCGGGCAGCAGAGATAATTTGTAAACTGAGAAGAAAAGTCCTAGCTAGGAAGATCAGGCACACAGATGCACAAGAAAAAGATCACAGGATATCAGCAGATTCAAACAAAGAACATGCACAAGAGAGACAAAGACGATTTTTTTCCCGAAGTTCGGATCACACGGCTCCTACTCTCCGTTGAGGTGCTCCAAAGAGCCGGGTCTCGATTAACCCCTTGCCTCACTTATGTAAAGATCCCAGAAGAGATCCACAGCCTTCAACTCAACACTTCTAGGTCATTTTCTAGAATTGAGTGATCACCAAGATCTAACTTAAAATTCCTTCTAGAAAAGACCACAAGTGCAAGTTGCTCTACCTAAGATAACCTCTGAAAACTCAGCACAAGAATCTTTACTCACTTACCTCGTTTCCTTGCGGAGGTGAGGAAAACCTTCACGAACTTTCCCGGGACATCCACAAGATCTTTGGAAGCTCATGGGCGACACCTAACCGTCTAGGAGAAGATCTCCAAGAGTAATAAGCCCAAGTGACAGCCCACAAGGTATCCAAAGTGCTCAATCAAACCTAATCTTCAAGCCATCTCCAAAACACTCCTACACTCTCATCTAATCTCTCAATCTCACAAGATAGGCTTTAGATTTAAGTGGAGGAAGCAAAGGAAGCTTGGGAGTGGCTAGAAAACCCTAGAACATGAAAGAACTGAAGTGGAATGGCCAAAGGGTGACCTGGGGACGAAATCCATATATATAACGGCTAGGTGACGTCATATAGCCGCTACTCACAAGTTTGAACTGGAAACTTGCTAGGAGGTTCCGGGCAAAAGTGCCAGGAACTTCCAGGCAGCACTTAGGAAAATTTTTGCAATGAAACGGCGCCCGGAAGTTTCGGCCAGAACCTCCGGGTAGCCCTCTCTGTCCCGAGGAGAAAATCATTTTTCAAAAATGATTCCAAAAATCTTTTGACTCATGGATATGACTAAGAGCACTTTGTATACCCTAGAACCACACTTGAAACCCCTCTTAATAGTACGGTTTTTCCTAAACTCAATTTCGAAAGTGAAAATTCTAGTCTAATCACCTTCGGTCCTTTCCGCTCTTAGGAACATTCAAATTGGGGGGTCTCCTTGTATTCTTAGCCATCACAACATGCTTTGGGACTAAACTCCTGTGAATAAACTTGATAGACATGTTAGTCCCCTTTAACCACCTTGTCATTAATCACCAAAACCCACTAGGGGGTTTAAGTGCACCTTCAATCTCCCCCTTTTTGGTGATTGATGACAACATGGTTAAAGCATACAAAAAGATAATAGAATTTAAATTTGGTATGATGAGAGAAGTGTGAAGCTCCCCCTGAAGATATGCATATAATGAAATGAGAAATGAATACATTATGCATAAGACGAAGGAAAGCTCAAAAGAAACTTCACACTACCCTCGTCAATCAAGAGATGCAGATGAAAGTGCTTGAATGATGAGTGATGCAAAAATAAAGATTAGATGACATGGCAATCACTCAAAAAAAATGAAAGGAACACAACATCACATCAAAATGCAACATCCATATGGTCTAACTTACTGACATAAAGGGATAATAAAGCATCTAACAGTCAATGCATCCAACCAAAATAGAAAACGAATACATGTCCATATAGAGAGAGATAAAAGAGAGGAAATCGGCCTGGCCGGAACCTCCTGATCACAGGACCCGGAACTTCTGGTCAAATGACCAGACAATAGTGACCCCCTTCAATTCACAATTGTAATGACCCCCTTCAATTCACAATTTCTCCCCCTTTGGCATCAAGGCACCAAAAAGCAAGAAACCATGAAGAGAAGAAGATGATCACTCATCTCCATCTCCATTAGAGGGAACAATCTCGGTATCGCCAGCGAGATGAGATTCATCGGACTGTGCAGCGGTGTCGCCCTCATCAACATCAGTGGGAGCATCCTCAGCAGCTGCCTCTGTGTCACCCTCATCATCATCATCAACATCATCATCGGAGTAGGTGGATGGACCTTCTCCGACAATGTTGCGGGCTGCCTCATACGCCTCAAATGGATCAACATAGACCTCATCTTCAGAATCATCTGACACTTCTTTCCCAGCTTCTCTACTATCTTCCTTCTAACGCCTTTCGATCTTCTTCACTTTCTTGGCAGTCTTAGCACACATACAAAAAATTGCCTGAAGTGCCTTCTTGATGGGAGAAGAACTTGAGGAACTCGGTTGGGCACTAGAAGAAGGACCAGCTGAAGTAGAAGGAACAGATCGAGGTACCACTGGAGAAGAGGAAGGTGGAGCACGAGGGCGAAAAGGACTGTGGCGCCCATCTTTAATGTAGAACACCCCGGTGACTGTCTCAATCATCTTCATAATGAAAGGGGCATAGATACAACCCCGCTTAGGCTCAAGAATGGTGTTGGCTATCTCATACCAAATCAACTTCATCACACTGAAGGGAGGCTGATTGTAGCGCATGCGACTGAGAAGATGTGCATGCTTGGATAGCAAAGCAGTAACATCTCCAACCTTTGGAAGCAAAGACCAACGAAAGATGGAGTACAACACCTTGTAGTTAGGATGCAAACCATGAGTAGATTCCATGCAAGTCCTAGGAGCATCCTTTGCATACATGAACTTGGTTTTGATCATGGGGAGGGGTGCTTCACTATGAATGTTGGGCCTATTGAGATCCTCATCATCTAACCCCAACATCTCAGTAAACTGTGCCATGGAAATCTTGTGCCTAACACCCTCAGTCAACCACTTCACATAAGGGGTTCCTTTCCTTGTAGTACCAAAGAATGCTGTCGCATAGAACTGTGCAATGACCTCCTCATTCCAACCATACTCCAAGGCAAGAATATCTCCAAGATTCTTGTTGTGGCACACTTGCATCACTTGGTTGAACACTTCATTGTTTTTCTTTCTCATGTAAGCCCAATCAATCCACTTCATCTCAACCACTGGATTTTCTCTAGCCATAATCACTGAGTTATACCAATCCAATTGAGTGAAAGTCCTGAAGCGTGGATCCTGTGACTCCTCAGGCTGTGTCTCTGGATCAATCAAACGATCTCTTCTGCACTTGGCAAGTTGATGAAGGTAGTTGGACTTGGGTCTTCCAATGTGGTGCATAGGAGTGGTGTCAAATCCAAGAGTCTTGTAGAGCCGAACGGGATTCTCACGAGATCCTACAGGGAAATCATGAGATGCCCTTCCAGCCCCAGAACTACGACCACCACCTCTCCCACGACCTCTTGTATTAGGTGCATCACTTCCTTAACCACTGTCACCATCCCTAATCTGAACAGGACGGTTGCTGGATTGCCTTGTAAACCTGGGAGAAGTACGAGTGCCACTGCCACTGCCGCCCTCAACCACTTTTTCTTTATCCAAATGACCACGAGGAAACCGAATAGGAGGACTCTCATCACAGGACACATCCTGAGATGCTTTCTGTCTTTTCTCACGAGTCATAGTGCTTACTGCAACAGGAATCAATAAATTTGAGTGCAGTAGTTAGGCCAAAATTGAGAGAATCAAGAATTGCAGGCTGACTGGACAGCGCCCAGAGGTTCTGGGTGCAAGAACACCGGAACTTCCGGCCGGCAAAAATGAAGAAAAGAGGTCTCAAAAATAGCCAGTGCATGTGAACAAATCCTATAGATCGGTGATCTACAAGGTAGCAGAAACAAGACTATCCAAGTGGTTTTCTCCCTAGGTTCACAGATTTAGAGATCGGGATAAAAACACAATGAACCGAGAGAGGGAATCAAAAAGTGCTACCTTGAGAGAAGAAACTGCGAATCGATCACAGAAAGAAGCTCCCAGCCACCAATGTGGATGAATCCACGGAGAATAAACGAATTTGATTGGTGGAAAGAGAAAATCGCCACTTGGGGCACTGTAGCAGCGACTAGGACTGGCATCGGGGAGGGAGAAGAATAAGGAGAGAGAATAGGGTTTCTAACTCCCCCTGAGTATATATACTCACCGACACCCGGAGGTTCCGGACAGGGAGGCCCGAAACTTCCGGCCTGACAGATAAAGGGCAGCCACGCCCAAAAACAAGGTAGAGAGAAGAATTCAACGAGTGGAATTAGAGAAACTATGGACAAGCAGAGACTTATGATACATATGACCAGCCAACAATCAACACTACATAACAATGGTCAATATTCATCACAAGAAGGGGATAAAAATCAAATTTTCGCAATAAAAGGCACACAAAGGATTTTGCAAAAAAATTCACAAAAGGGTTTTTGGATATAGGGGGAATGTTTGAGCTTTATTCCTGGTATCAAGACCATCTTCTACCAAGAAGTGATCTTCAAGACAGAAGCACTTTTTTTTTAATTTACATGTTAGTGATACATGTTTGACTATAAATTAGCCAACCACCCATCACCTAATGTTGCGAGAATCTAAGATATTGAGCTCACTCCTAAGCTCGCAAAATCTTTTCTCA